CGTCGTCTTCTCTCTCTCTCTCTCTCTCTCTCTCTCTCTCTCTCTCTCTCTCCGGGGGTTCTCTCGCACGCGAAATACCGCCGTACTGTCGTGTCCGCCAATCAATAGCCTACGTGTGTCGGACGGTCCGAATTTTCGGTGGTGAGCGCGACCAGAGTGGGATAAAACTGCCTCAGAATGTGTATCCGACTGCGCGTACGTATCCGGAAGCTGTCCATGGAGAAATTGCGAACGTGTTTCATTGTGCAGGGCTGGTCCGCGCATCCTGTGCATCCTGAAAGAACATTCGAGCCTGCGTTACTTTTGTCAGAACCAGATTTTATCAATTTTTATTTCATTTACATGAGCGTTTTAATATAAAATGTATATTCTCGCGGAAACATGAATGTTATAAAAATCACGTTATTTCTATTTCATTTCTTTTTCCGCATTATGCAACTCGTTTTCATATTCGAGATTAAACATTTTTTGTCTTCCACAATTCAGTTCTATACACACTAATTATTAATAGATTTATTAATATTATTGATTTATGTTATGGCCTAAGTGTGTATAAAAAAAAAATATAGGTTTAGTCAAGCGCCTTGAAAGCGTCTGCAGAAATTATACACGAGAACAAATTTATTTCGAAATTTTAACGCGAAATTAACACATTATTCTCTCTATAATTTTGTAATGCATGATATCATACGATGCATTGCACCCTCTTAATTCGTATACTTTACGAGGGTTGATCCTTCCAGCTTACCTGACCGGAATCCGACCCTGCTCGCGTGGGGTTCGCAGAGATTGATGGCGTAGTCCGAAAACGGATGATCCTTCGTGAAAAAAATAAGACGCGAGACGAGACGACTTTTTTTCTACGCCCCCCCATTCTGTGTCGCTGAATTATTGCGTGCGCGTACTCGCGAGTTATAAAGCAATAATAGGAACGTATGGCGCGCTTTTTAATAATACTTGCCTTCCCTCCAGCCCCATCACAGGGTGTCGAATAACATCCCATACCGCAGAGGTCGAAAGTTCAAACACGCGAAACGATATACTAACGCAATAACGAGGGAAACATGTGATACCTCTTTCGCGCAATATCCGCGATTTTCCTCGCCTCGATTTTCATGAAGAGGGTATCAAAAGTAGGTGAGGTTAATTTCATTTATCAATCGTACGTTCATGCTCTTCCTCTTAGAAAAAAAAAGGAAAACGAAAGAAAGAAATTTACGCCTTATACCTCGCGAAAAATTGTCGTGCCGCAGTCTCGTCTTATTTTTTCCCGCGACAAAAGAGGATTGTATCCTTCCGAGTCGCCGCGCCGATTTACGGACTCACGAACACGGCGCCACCCTTTTATATACACACATGTACGTACGTGTCATATCCCCGTCGTTTCGGAACATCCGCTGGCGCGGAAAAGTTGTCGAAGGCG